TTGGTTATGCAGGTTTCTTTCCACATAGTTTTCAAAGACTTCCAGTGTTCTTCCACACAGGTTTCTTCAGGGATGTTCCTCGATATCTCCCATTTTGTCGCACATTCTTATGCGAACAATAAAATATTGTTTTAGCTGGTATACTATAGTATTTTACTAAGCCTAGCAACTTGAACCTTATTATGGTTCAACTTATCTTTCTGTTTTGCCTATCACTTCAGAATAGTAGGATATTGGTCTAAACAAGATTATCCTAGAAGGTGCAACTAGTGATAATTGAATACATACCACTTTTACCGAATTCCCGTCAACTTGAAACTCAAGCAGTGAAATTTTAATGATGATTTATGTTATCTAGTCGAAGTAGGTGGATCCAAATAACTAAGCACTGGGGACTATACACATACATTGGTAATTTGTAGGTGGTCAGTTCGTGTAAAAATCCAGTCTTACAGATAGTCAGTCATGACATGAATAGCTTAGAAGTGCAGTCTTTCATTTCATTTCTGGAAGGTAATCAAAAGAAGATAAGTTTCTTCGTGATTGCAAATACACCTCACTGATTAATGTCAACAAGCATAAAAATTAGATGCAGTACGTCCTGTCAACTGAACCGAGAAATCTATCATAATTAGTAAATGGTTTGAATTTATCAGTAACCGAGCTTTCTCTACAGTTGTACCCGTTATCTTTATATTTATATGCTCTGTATCTACTTGGTTAGCGTAGTTACCGTTCAGCAATTATGATTTCAAGTAAATGTGCATAACGATTTGCACGGTTCTAAGCCCAACTGCATTTGTAATTTCAGCTTCACTTAGACAAGCCATTTTGTACTTTTATCTATAGGCAGTTTTTAACAGGATAATAGAAAAGGTATGTCGTGGACAATTTAAATAAGAGTAACTAGATGATACATCACTTAGGAAGTGCTATTTCAAGTGATTAAAAAGTCAAAAAGTGAAATCCATTCATCAACTTTGTGCATAATCCTGCAGTAGGCGATATGCCACACCTATTGTGGGAGTGATTATAATATTACCTGACTGCCCAAACCTCTGTAGGTGGAGTGGGATTCAAGCCCGTGTTTCATCAGTTTGAAAACCAGGTGAACAAGCCAATGATCCACAAGCTCCTGGAAAAGGAGATAATCAGTGATTTCATTCCGATGGCTAAATTGACATTACTGCCCTGTAAACTATAAGCGGAGGTTTTATAAAATTATTTGGATGAGGTTCGACGTTATTAATGGTTTGTATCATATAAACACTTTTAATCATGGAAATAGTCTTCTTTTTCTTTTTTAAAGCAATTTTCCTGATACCTACGTCATTAGTTGCCGGGTTTACTGAGTGTGTTGTTTAAGAATCACTACTAAGGATCATAACAGATGCTTGGCTGAATCTGTTTATTTTTTTCACATTAAATTTTGTTGGAGTTGAACAGATCCGGTTTGATAACCATCATGGTAATTATGGTTCGACCACTTAGAGAAAAGCAGGGTAAAACTCCAATTGGTTAAATTGACCATATAATCTAGTTAAACGTTGAGGTCTTGGTAACTAAGCTGAAAGAGTACTACTTCATCAATCTGCAGCTCACTTTGCTAGTCTTGTAGCCACTCAGGTTTTCATTTCAATTTAGAACATTGTCGCAGATTATTAAGAACAGTTTACCAACTAAAACATACCAATTACTATTTATTGATATACTTGTAATTCGCCGTCGTTTTACTGGATCGAATTGTTCGCCTCTATCGGCATATGGGTGCCAAATTGGAAGCGGACAGCACAAGAAGAGAACTCATCATGGGTCAAGAAGCACTCGGTGAAATGAACGAGGATGGAGAAGTGTTTGCAGACTTTTGCACATTTAATGATCTGGTGATTGGAGGCAGTGTGTACAGACACAAGGATATTCACAAAACGACATGGATTTGATTTCACCAGACACAAGACATACTACACTAAAAATCAGATTGACTTCATCACAATATGAAGAAAGTGGAGACACAGCTTACTGGACACAAGACCAGATGAAGGGGAGCAGATGTAGGTACATACCACTCAGTTTCTAGAGTAAGCAACCTACTTTTAAAATCAAGTTGAAAGCCTTCACAGAAGCTGGTGATGAACCACAAATCAAGTTCAACACCCAGAACACAAACTGAACTGAGGGACGAAACTATGAAGGACATCTTCACTTCAGTCAGTCATCAGGACAAAATGGGAGATATTGATCAACATCTCCCAGGAAACCTGAGTGGAAGAACACTGGAACTCCTTGAAAGGAAACCTGCATAAGCGTGTTAGGACGGAAGAAGAAACAAGACAGGACAAGGAGTGGATCTCCACGGTTCCCTACATGGAAACTGATGAAAGAGAAGATGGTGATGGTGAAGAAGATAAACCAGTGCGGTGCAGTGCAATGCAGTGCAGGGATGAACAACGTAAAGAGGAACTGAGTACAACGTATAAAACACTACACTGGACAAGGAAGTGAAGAAGAGTGCACACAGAGACAAAAGACACTTTTACGATACACTTGCAAGTGAAGCAGAACAGGCTGCAGGAGAGACCTGACAACATTATATCAAATAACCAGGTTATTATCTGGGAAGAGATCAACACAGATGAAACCAATGAAAGACAGTGAAGGAAACTTATTTACCACCAAAGAGGAGAAACAAAGGAAACAATGGGCTGACCAACTCAAGAAGCTCTTGAATCGACCACCACCTGCGACTTGTCCAGAAGTACCACCAGCAACCGCAGAATTATCAGTGAACACAAACCCTTCAAAAATAGCTGGTCATGAAGGCCATAAAGTTACTGAAAGCCAGGAAAGCAGCAGGACCAGATGGAATTCCTCCAGAAGCACTGAAAACAGACGCAGTACAGCAGCGGACATGCTCACACCACTGTTGCAGAAGGTTTGGAAAGAAGGAGGGAAAGGTACCTGCCTACTGATGGAAGAAGGGCTACCTTGTCAAACTCTTTAAGAAGGGAGACCTAGGCCTTTGCAAGAACTGGCGCTGAATCATGCTGCTGTCCAACCCAAGCAAAATAATAAGCCATATCATCCTGAAGAAAGAGACTAAAATTTGCTCTGGATTCAAAATTACGGCCAGAACAGGCTGGCTGGCTGTCTTCAAGCAGTACAAATCATGCGCAGACCAAATTGCAACGCTTCGCATCATCATAGAACAGAGTATAGAATAGCAGTCAACTCTCTACCACAACTCCATCGACTTTGAGAAGGCCTTTGACAGCGTCGACCGAGAAGTAATTTGGCAGGTGCTTCAACACTACGGAATACCACAAACCTTTATCAACCTCACTCAGCAACTATACGACGACACCACATGCCAAGTAATTCACAACGGGAAACTCAGTGGTGCCTTCGAAGTGAAGTGAAGACAGGAGTAAGACAAGGTTGTCTAATATCCCCCATGATCTTCCTGATTGTGGTCAACTGGACTGGACTGGACCATGCAACAAACTGTGAGGAACGAGGAGATGGGAATGCGCTGGCTGAACCGATGAAAAGACTGTAGAAAATTTGAATATCGCCGATGATGATTTACGTCTAGTGTCGCACAAACTCGAAGATCTACAGGCAAAAACTAACAAGTTGACAGAGGAAGCAAGGCAGCGAGGACGGGACTTCCTTCAGATGAACGTAGAGAAGACAGGGGTGATGAAGATACCCAACCAACAACAAGCTCCAATCACCATCAACGGGAGAAATCTAAAGGAGGTAGTATCTTTCACCTATCTAGGCAGCATCTTTTCAAATCCAGGTGGCGGCCCAGATGAGGATGTCAAAGCCAGGATCGGAAAAGCAAGGCAGGCCTTCATCAACCTGAAATCAGTCTGGAGATCTACTGCACTCTGTATTAAGAACAAGATGCGGATTTTGAACACCAATGTCAAGTCAGTGCTTCTATGTAATGGTCGAGAGACTTGGCGCGTTACGGAAAGCATTTCCAACAAACTACAAATATTCATCAATAACTGCCTAGGTTGGCTGGATACTGAAGATCAGATGGCCAGAATAATAAGAATAAGCAACGAGGAACTCTGGCCTGGTGACGAACCAACCAAGAACCTATCACCCAACAAATATGCAGATGAAAGTGAGTATGGATTGGGCATACACTGAGAAGGCCGATTTGGGACATCATGCGCCAGGCCCTCGAGTGGAATCCAGACGGGAAACGACGAGTTGGACGTCCAAGGCGAGTGTGACATAGAGGAGATCATGTGAGGAAGAAATGAAAGCTTGTGGGTAGACGTGGAGAAATGTTCAAAAGACTGCAGAGAACAGAGTGCTATGGAGACGGGCTACTGAAGCCCTATGTTCCGTTAGAAACTCAAGGGACAAATAACAGTAATGATAATAATGATAATTGGAATATGTGCTCCTACGTAGATGCCTCGATATTGCTTGAATGTTATTTATAGTAATTTGGTTGATTCCGGCTAGTAGAAGGAAGCCAGAACGCGCGTTTCGTTCTATCTGTGACTCTTCAGGCGGATGCACCTGCACCCCAGCTAGTGGTGTTTTCCCACTGGGACTAGAACCTCGTACCCATCGCTTCAAACGCGAAGGCTTTATTCACTATACCTCAGTGGAACAATGGCCACTTCTTGTCCGACGTGAGAGTCTCAAATTGGGTGAAAAGCGCGTCCTGCATTTCTTCTGCTGGCCACAACCGACCAAATAAAACATACTAAGACAATTTGAATAACAATTACTAATAACTTTGGGAAGATTTATGAGAACAGTATAGCTTTTCAAGTATGAGTAAAGTTAGTATCTCGTTGTTGGAGTCCATCGACAACTAAATATTCTCCATTTTTTTTATTCAGCTGTTATGCAAGGTCTTATCAAGATTCAAAAATGGCTGTGTAATACAGATTCACTTGTAAATGAGACTGATGTATCTGTGTGAAATCTTAAAACCTTTATTATTATTATTATCATTTCATTTGCAGAACTCATTCCAACTTTGTCGATCCAAGATCCTTTTGTTTAAGTCAGTATGATGAAAACAATGCTGAAGATTCAACATCCAGACAAAATGTTAGACGACCAATTTACAATCGTTACGAGAATGATGGAAAAATGGAAGAGGAACTTGTTCAACTATTACCATCACTGTTGATTTCATCAGTTTCATCGGTTAAAAATAATGCTGTTGACGACCAGTTCAAAAGCAAATATGTAAAACGTGAAATTCGAACAAACCGGGCTTTTCCCAGCTATATGTTTAGTAATCCACTGAAAACATCAAATCCTCATTATCTTGATGAAGATTTGCCTCAGCATAGATATAATGACTATAAATATAATAAGTTGGGTAATATCGGTAGTAATGATGTAGCGGTGACTACAGAATTGAACAATGAAAATCAACTGGATGATTTTAATCGACGTATTCAACAAATGATTCGTTTATCAGAAAATTTCGTACGCAAATCTAATTATGACGGTGTAAAATTTGATGGAGAACAAACATTGCGAGAAAATACGGCTGACACGTCACAGAAAGGTGACCATGATAACATTGAGCCAAGATTGCATCAAGACTACAGTCTACTTTCGGACAGTAAGTTAGTCTATTGGAATTGGGAAATATTCAATGCTCTATTTTATAAATTTGAAAATCACTTTAAGCTTAGAGGCAGTTGATATTCAATTGAAAAACTATGATGTGCTATACAATGGTGGATAACTCTGCTGTTTCATATTAAAATCTGTTCATATAACTATCTTGACCCTTAGACTTGATAATGAGCACAATACAACTACTGACGGGATCTCCTTTGAATGGTGCTTTCATCCTAGCTAAGTGGGGATTACTTTATAACTTATGATTCTGTCTACTTTCAGTCACTCTAAGTATATTCAGTTCAGTTAATCCTTATAAACACAAATTTTTAATAAGAATGAAGGTAGCACTCCTCAAGTAAAACTCGAATAAGCTCTAACAGTTGAATAGTGTTTCAGAAAATAAGACGAAGTCAGTTCTACTTCAATATTTCTCATCAGCTGCCTACCACCTTTGATGATCATTTAATTTATTTAGCATCATTAGCCATCCACTTATTATTTTCATCCGCACAAAAAAGCCTACCAAATACTAATATCTAAGTCATATGAAAATTAACAACACAGAGATGCAAAGGCTCTGGAGTAATTATGAGAATAGTAAAACCTGCTGATTATAAAATTATCTGTTATAGGAAAAAGTGGATGGCAGAAATGGTAATAATAACAATCGCAATAAAAAACCAGGAATAAAATGGAGTTATATAAATGGATTTTAACAAATATGGTAAAGTGACTGTTTGTTGATACTTGTAGTTCTGCATTGTTATTGTGGATCGAATAGATCAACCTCTGTTAGTATATGGGCTCCAATGTGGATGCCTCGATACTGAGTGAATATTTATTGTTATAACTGACTTGGTTGTGCCCATCAGTGGAGTCCAGGACGTGAGTTTCATCCTATTTGACACTCATCAGCTAGATGTACTTGCAACCCACCCAGGGATGTTGTTCTTACTCAGACTGGGACCTAGACCTCATCGCTTCCAGCGTCAAATCGCAACTCACAAGGCTACTGAGATAAGGTATTTACCTCTTGTTTAGCAGTTTAGCAGTATGAAAGCGGAGAATTACAAATGTCAACAAATAATAGTAACTAATACCCGTGGTACAAGAGATGGCTAGCCTGCCTCAGTGACCTTGTGTGTAACATTTAGGCGTTTGAAGCGATGGGGACAAGGTCCCAGTCTCTGGGGCAACAAGATCACTGAATGGGTTGCAAGTGCATCTAACTGATGAGTGCCAAATAAGACGAAACTCACGTCCTGGACTCTATTGCTAGCCAAAATCAAGTCAATTATAGTAAAATGACTTCTGAAGTTATCTAGTGATGTTACGTTTCCTGTAGTTTATGAATGCTCTGCCTCATTTCAGCGTCGAAAATCTCCTGGGTAACAGAAATCACGGCGGTTGATTCCTAAGCTCAACCCAAATGTTTATGAATCAGGTTAACTCTAAAGAACTGTCACTTGATCAATTACAATAAGATAAACCAGACTGAGAACAGGATTTTGACACATAAAGTCAGTTTTATTGGTAATGATGCGTAGTGGCTAACAATGAGATAAAAGATACGCTTTTCGTCCTATTATGGACTCAACAGCTGGATTTAGCTGCGTTTCAATGAGTAATGTTGTTTCCACTGAGACTTTAAAACCAGTATGCATCACTTCAAAGAATACAGCGGTATCCAGAAAGCTAATGAGTTACGATAACCGCTTCTTGCGCATCCGGTATAATTTGATATTATATCTTATTGTTTTCTGTCACTGATTGGACTAAGTTAGTCGGACACCTTATTTCTATCAATTCTACATATTTCCATCTTATTAAATGAATTTTCTCACCATCTTACATGTTAAAGTTTTCTTGATTGTTCTACGATCATTATGACCTTACCATCTGTGTGAGACTTGAAAATATATATTACGACATCGTATTCCTGATTTCAACTCCTGTATATCCAATTATCGTGATAATTGGTCACTCGATTCGCAATTTAAATGTGTTGACATCTAGCCCTTTTTTCATCACTTATTTTCTATGGCTGTTAATATGGCATTTAAAAACTCAATGGAATACAATGAACTTCCATTGCTGAACAAACTTGCTCACTATTATTTGTTTTATTTCAAAAATATAACTGTTGTCTAACTTAATGGCTCTGAAAATCACTAGTATAAAATGATTTTGACTTAGCAGTTTAAAAAATCTGCACTAGTTTCACCCTGAAGAGAATGACGTTATCAGTCAGGTCTTACAACAATACTAAGTTAGCTGATGGTTATTTTGTTCAAGTAAAAAATATTTTCAAAATGAACCTTAATCATACAGGTCAAAATGAAAAGAATTTTTATCATTAAGATTAGAATGCGTTGAGCAACTGTTCAATACGCTTGGCCTAGTCCATACAGCGAAATTCATGAATATAATAAACATCCTAGATTAACCCGATGACAGTAAAACAACCAGCTTAAGCTCTGTAAATAGGGTTACCGAGTCATCAATAGTAGATGTTATCCTACTGGATGCACTGGATCACAGGACAAGATGTTTTTCTCAAAAGTTTATACAATTCATATAACGTAAAGAAGTAAAACATCAAAAATCCTTGACTACAGTCTATAATGCTAGCGTTTACCCTCTTTAATTAATTTTGGCATGATCATTCAGGTGGTCTGCTTGGAAATCATGGTTTCTAAATTAGTTTACAATCTGGAATATCATGATGTAGAGAACTAGGGAGAACTAAAGAGTTACTTCGTCCTAGTTGAGGACTCCTCAGCATTAGGCATCCATACGAGATAGAGCAGTAGAAACTTAGGTCTTTTAATAAGCACTTTACTGCTTAGCCACTCGATTGGGGGCTCATTGATCTATATTTTACAGCTTTTGTCAGTTTTTGTTATACAGAACAACCATCATTTGGCATCATCTGTGAAGAGCTAGTTCGTCCTAACAGCTTTCGTGATTCGATCGAAGTTTTCTTCACAGACAGATATCACCTAGGGAGGTTATAATGTAATATCGTGATCTGTCAAGTCGGGAGTCAGAATGACCAAACACTTATAGGATCGGATGATATTCGGGCTATTTCATAGATGTACTAAACATGAGAAATATTGGTGAAAGAATTTCGACCAAATAACCAAGTGGTAAAGTGTTCACTTTCAGGCACTGACTCCCGGGTTCCAGTCCCAGTCTACCTATCAAAGTTTGAGAAGCCAGGCGGTATTATTGGCCCTCAAACAACAGGTGTGTCTCATCGCCCAACGCACAGACGTGTATATAATTACCAACGGAGTTTAGTTTTTGCAATTCATAACCTGTAGATGGTCTCTTTAAGTAAGCCTATTACCATAGTATGTTGTTTTGGTATCATATAATGCGAGGCAAAATTACCACCAGATCATTGTTCATTACGTCCAATGCAATAGAATAACAAAAGACTAGTCATAGTTAACAGCCTTTGAGTACTACAATAGCTAACAACACTACTTATTAACGGTAGTCAGTAGTAAATGCATGTACTGAAAAATAACAGGAGGCATGCTGAGTGAAGTTCAACGTTACAGCTTACTGATGAGTCAGAAAATTATAATTAAATTATTTAAATGTGGTGTCTTGGACTGGCGTAATTCTGCCTCACATTGTGCGTTTATTCTTCGGTTTGTGTCTCTCAGTTATCTGCATTTCTTAAGTGTTCTTACATTTCCTGGTCTAAACAGCTGCCTTCTTCATGGATGACTATTTATTGCTGATGAGGACTTGATTTATTCATCGGTCAGTGATCCTCATGAAACCTTATAAACCATCTCCCTCCTAATTTCGTTGGTTCCATAAATTATGACTTCCTGCTAAACATTTGTGGCATACGTCTGGAAGTAAGTCATTAAAAACAGTGTATCATTATTCATCTCGGTATTGTAAGAGAAATTGACTTTTAGTTGCAACTGTTCTCTAAATAAAAACATCCATGGATAAATCATTTTGCTGTGACCCATCTCAATGTAAGACAGCTCTCTACTCATCAGGAATTTACTTGAAGATGTACACTATGTGGTATCATGACTAGTGGAATCAACAAGATCAAGAGTGAGAACGAATGTTAATCATCAGCACTAAATAGTGATATCACTACATTGTAAGTTGTTCGATGTTGGAAATTTTACACTGTTGAACTTCACCTTTTGTACTTAGCACCACATCTCCACCTCCTGACCTGTATCTCACAGTAGAGATTTCAAGAATGGTCAGGAAATCCTAATTTAACGGTTAAAAGGTTATCTAATGCCTCCGGCATTCAGTTGTTTCTCTGTTGATTTCAGATTATAGTTGATAAATTAACTTTTCTGATAGTTATCTAGCTAAATAGATGACTAAGATGCAGTCTGGAATGTTACTGTGTTTATGCATAATGAATGCACGTAGATAATAGGTATATAAACTAGCTTCTATGATCGATCGATCAAACTAACCTCAATGAAACGGGGCTGCTGTAAATAATACAATGTAGGTGGACAGAAAAAATAAACCAGTAAAATTCGGATATAATCTATTGCCTTAATGTAAGAGTTGTATGTTTTCCTGTTTTTCTCTCAATTTTCCTCCATGCTTCTCTTTCCACTCCTTTTTCCAATGTCCTTTTTCCTATCCACCTCAGTCTTTTTCATATCACTACCATGTTACTCTTAAACAAACTATCCCCAAGGTCATTTTGCGTATATTCTTGCAAAGTAATAAAGGAAAATAAGTAAAATGTCAGTGTTTTGTAGTTGAGTAGACTTCAAAAGTACACTATTTTGATATGAAAAATGAATAAAATAACATTGTCAAGATAAGGTTCCAGTGAATCACCGAGTTGATACCACTGATTTATCTCAGTTCGTAGATTTTAAAGCAGAATACTTCAAATTAAGATAAATTTTCGCACCAAAGTAGGGAGAGTGGAAAACAGTTGGCAGTCAAACATCACAGAACAGTTCATCCTCCCTAATT